TGGTAGGTATATCTATATAGCTGTATCTCTATCTCTGTCTCTCTTATCTCTCTACCTCTATCTCTATGTATCTCTGTCTTTCTGTCTCTCTCTCTCTCTCTCTCTCTCTCTCTCTCTCTCTCTCTCTCTCTCTCTCTCTCTCTCTCTCTCTTTCTCCTCTACTGTAGGTAAAACTAAGATCAAGTGAGGGAAAGTGACTTTTGCATGGCCATGCAGCTGAATAACATAACTGGGCCTATTTTTAGTTCTTCCAAAAATCCAGTGCAGAATTGCTTGCATTATATCATACCAGTGACACTTTCCTTATTCTCCTTTCCCCCATATTTCCTTCCTTTTCTCCCTCATTTCTGTAAGATCTAGAACCTAAATGCGCAAAATTACCTCTCACTGTGACCTCTGTGCTCTAAGACTTCCGCATTAGCGGGAAGACCATTGCATGCTTGTGTTGGAATGGTGTCTCAGAGGTAGCTTCTGAGTCTAGCACACCTGAGGCTGGGGAAAGTCAACAGAAACTAAAGCTCGCAGAGCTTTGTGGTGGGTAAGGAATGGTGTTCAAATACTTCATTTTGTTATCAAAGTGAAAGGGTACAGGTGGGCAAAAGACAGTGATGACCTTAGAAGTTGGTTAAATGATCACTGGTCTGCCATGTTCAAACACCACTGATTCTTAAGCTTAGGTTGCTCTTATTATGAATATGTTTATCATCTCTCTGACAAACGAGCAGGGTAACAGGCAGACCCACTTTTATTTAATGATATTAGGTTTATTTTTTGTGGAAATCTTTTAAAATTGCTTTCTCAAAATGAATACTAAAGTACTGTTAGCATAATATGTGTGGTTTCACAGCCCTTATCTTCCTTGAGGAAGACCTACTTTGATGTACCTGAAGTCTTATTATCAATATTGAGTGAGCCTTGTTGAGAATTCTCAGCTTGAGAAAATAGGATGTGTCATTGGCCAAAAGCCAAGAGGAAGTCAGTGCTTGAATATTACTACGGCAAGGCTCGAGGATTGCCATGATCACGTGGCCATCTGTAAATGGATGTACTGGTGATCAGATTTGTGTCATCTTGGCAGTAAGTAAAATTCTCTGCATCCACCACTCCTTCCCCACATTTTAAAGAAGTAGTCTATCTTTTCTTTAGACCTCACAGTAATAGAATAATAAAATTCCTATACTTTTCTTGGCTTACTACAAATTTATTATGCACACAGGAGCAGATTGTAATAAAGCCAGGCCTCATCATTTCAGCCAAATTTCTCCTCAAGTACATCTCATTTCAAGCTCTTCATCTCCTAATCATTGGAAATGGGGTTATGAAGAAATGAAAGATTGAGGTAGATGAGACACTTCATTGTTCTGCTTTCATTATGCTGTTGAGATCTCCCTTTTTGTACAGTCTTTGGCAACCAATTACTACTTGGAAAGTGATTATTAAACAGTTTACCTAATAATGGGTTTTTACACATGGCTGTTCTGTTGCTCTTTAAGGTTAAGCAAAAAGGATTATTAAATATCCATTTACAATGGAATCTGTGAAAATGCTAAATGGAATGCATAATTCATATATACTGTCAATAGTACAAAGCCAAATCAGTTTAACCAAATATCAAGTTACAAGGAAATAGGGGTAAGTGCCAGTCCTAGAAGAACTAGTTCTAGTTAGCTAATGGTCCTTATAATCAGAAAAACTAAAGTCATAGACAAGGTGGTTACTTAGTTCTCTAATTAAAAAAAGGTCAGGTGAAAAGTTAATGTAGGATAGATGTGGTATTCATCAGGGCCAGGGATCCAGAATCCTGCCATCTGATTGTTCCATTGATTTGATCCTCATTGTCAAGGTCATCTCAAGTTTCCATATGCCTTCTGTATCTGTGACAACTTTGTTCTCCCCAGCGGGAAGGTATTAAATAAGAAAAATACATGCCTGAGGTTGCCTGTCATTTTAACTCATATTTAATTAGCCTGAGTTTAGTCACACGAATACATCTAGCTACAAAACAGGATGAAAAATGAAATCACTATTCTGAGAAGCCATGTGCCAAAGTTCATGTTCTAGTCTCATTAAAGGGAGTAGGAGAAATATTGGGGCAGTTTATGACATAGTCTCTATGGGTGAAGCACTGCCACAGAGGTTTATTGAGCACCTGTGCTGTTTACCACTTTATGAGATACTAAAAAAGATTTTGTATGTGACAGTTTTTACCTTTAAGGAGTTAGTGAACATAGCAAGGGTATTTATTATCAGACAATGGAAACCAGTGGGGAAAGTCTTAGTTCAGAGGTAAAATGACTCAAGTTGGGAATCTATAATTTTCAGTTTGTTGTTTAAATTACTGATGCCTCAGTGTTTTTATGGTAATACCCACTATACTGTATTGTGAAGATAAAATGGTTGTAATACATGTTAAGTGCACTGCATTTTTTAATGACTCTTAGAACACACTGTATTCTAGAAAGGTTGACTGAACTACATTCCCACCAGTAGTGAGTACTGGCCTCCTTCTCTATATCTGAATCAGCTTTGAGCATTATTAAGCCTTTGAATCTGCTAATTTGAAAGATCAGTGTTTTTCAGTATTTCTTAATTCTGGAAATGTTTTTCAAGTGAAGCATACAGTGAAAATTAAGTATCTCAAATATGTGATAGAAATGCTACAGCATTTCCATCATCAGTGTTGTGGCTGGGAACCACTTAACTGCACTATCCAGATTGCCACCAGCACACTTTTTGATCTTTAAAGTATTTTCTTACTAACTGAGTATTACTGGGTGGTTAATATGTAATGTGCATACACACACCGGGAATTACAAAAAATGAAATTTCTGCTTTCTTGGGCTTAACATCCAGAAGGAGGAGATAGAGAGTTAACAAATAAATGTGCTCTGAGAAGTAGTACTGTCCTTGCTAAGAATCTCCGATGTGAGATCCTTGCTCAGGGTAAGAACTTTAAATTTCACTCTGAGTGACATACATAGAAAAATACTGGGGGTTTTTGAGTGGGAGCATAGTATTATCTGATTCTGCCTTAAAAGCATCACCTCACTATTGTGGGGACAATAAATGCTAGATGGGGAATAGTGAAGGAAGAGACATTACTTGCTGCAATAACTAACGCGTAAGACTAGGTGATGGCTTGAGCCAAGTATGGCTAGAGATGGTGGTAGAGAACAATATGAGGAACAGTCTGATTTAGTGTACATGCTGCAGCCTTTTTATTCTTTGGATATGGAGGGAGAGAATTTGGGGGAAGAGGGGAAGAAAGAAAAAGAAGGATTGGTTAAGATTAACTCCATGATTATTTGTGTATAGCTAACCTAATTGTTAAGAGTTTCCGCTTGACCAAGGGTGGGTCAGGTTTTAGGGCTGATTTTTGGAAATGTTAAGTTTGAATCTTTATTTTTCCACGTAGAGATCCCAAGTATGATGTTTGTTATTTTTTAGGGTTCGAATGGAAAGTTAGGTAGGGCTAGACAGATTGAAAATCATCAGTGGTCAGACAATTTGAATTCTCAAAACTTGAAGAGGTAACAAAAAAAGATTATTGGGCTGGGATATAGCTCAGCAGCACAGTGTCTGCCTTGCAAAGACAAGGTCCTGAGTTTGATGCCTGATACTCTAAAACAATCAAATAGACAAAAAAACTTAAAATAATCATAGCTATAAAAAAAGAGATCTAAGAATTAAGGGTCCATAGGCTCTGGGAAGAGGTAGCGTGAACTAAAGAAACTGAGGAGAGCCTGGTGCAGGAGAAAAACCAGGACAATTACAAATGTGTACAGGTCTTCAAAATAAAGTTAAGAAAGTATTTCAGGAAGGATGCCAAAACTATTTTAAATGCTGCTAAGGCAAGAAAGACAACAACTAAAACTTTTTAACTGTGACATTATAGCTATAGTATTTATACACATGCATACATTTAGCCATCTTATAACTTTTACTGCTCTTATGTTTTTTTTGTTTTTTTTTTTTTGCGGAACTGGGGATTGAACTCAGGACCTCTTGCTTGCCAGGCAAGTGCTTATTCTACTGAGCTATTTCCCCAGCCCTCTTATGATTTATTTTCTTTTTGGTGGAACTGGGGATTGAACTCAGACCCTTGTGCTTGCCACGGAAGAACTTATTCTACTGAACCATCTCCCCGCCTCCTCTATTTACAATTTCTGATGATTTTTTAAAAAATAATTTTATTGAGAAACAAATAGCAATGAGACAGTTTCAAAACCAATTAGTAGGACAGTTTCAATAATAAATACATTGCATATTGTTGTCTTAGTGGTT